CAAGTCTTCGCTGGAGTCCTGGAGTAAGAGCTCCTGGGTGCTTGCTGTGCAATCATGTAGCTGTGAGAACACATCCAGCGGCAGCTGCGGTGGTAGAGCACCTGGGCTTTCATCTAGCCCACACCAGGCCTGTGCTCAGGTTGCAGGATTCTTAGCCTCCCTCTCAAAGGAGCAGCTTTCCTGGGCAGCCCCACTCCACAGTCCCACGCTGGGGCTGGGCAGCTTGCACACACCTCTGACCTGGAAGCCCTGCTTTGGAGTATCTGAGCCTGACAATTAAGTCTCCTCTGGTCAAAACAACGATGAAGCTGGGATCAAGTCACCCCAGTGCAAGCAAGCTTCATGCCGCCAGCCCTGTGCTGTGACCACACAACTCTGTGGTCCCCTGGTGGCCTTGGTGGCTATTGTCATGATCCCCATTTTCCAGAAGAGAAGCTGAGTCTCTGAAAAGGCTATTGACCACCCTGGGACCCTGAGTCAGGAGAGACATAGCTAGGCCTGGAGTCCAGACTGGAGCAGTACAGGCTGTACCCTCCCCGTGCTGCTTGAAGCAGAAGCCAGGGCCTGGGTCTTGGGAGCAGCACTCTGGTCCTCTGGGGACAGCCTCCCAGAGGTCCCCTCCACCCTCGGCCTTCTTCATTCTTCCTGCTTTCCGTCTGTGGCACTTCTTAACTTGCAGCTTTGTGCTCTGTGCTTCCTATCCACCCCGCAGGCTGTCTGTGCATCCGTCTACCCATCCAGGAGCCAGGCCCTGCCCCAGGACAGTAATGGGGAGAACCCCCAGGCTGCCGACCTGCCTTGGTCCCGGGAGACAGCTGGAGGCTAACCACTGCGTGAGTGGTTTCTGCATCGGGCCCCAGGGTCAGGCAGAACTGCAGCGGCAGGAGCCTCCCCAAATCTGACTCCAGCGACGTAGGATGAAGCTGCTGTCCCCCGTGGGTGTGGAGGGCAAAGCATAAAACAAACAGGACTCTCCTTGAGCCTGAGCAGCTAGTGAATGCTACCTGCCAAACTTGGGACCTGCCACCCTTCCTTCTGATGTCTTCCTTGTGGGATGCCTGGGATGCCCACCCTGCGCCTGTCTCACCGCTGTATTTGAAGCACACAACTTGTCTGGTTTCACAGTGTGGACAGAAAAGTGGCCACTGACAAAACCTGACAAAAGCTCAGGTGATGCCAGCATGGTGGGCCCTACAAACTCAGAGACAGAAAGGAACCACATGGGATGGTCTGAACATAAAACTTCCAAACTAAGAACGGATCATCGCAATAGCCCCGTCCTAAGCCTTCAGCATCCTTGACAAAGTCAATTTTTACCTTAAGTGAGTCTGTCTATTGTGTTTTTGCAATTTAGGATAACATATCTTTGGAATGTCAGAGCAATCTTTGAAAGGTTAGAGGTCGGTGGTGATACGAGGTCAGCTAAATAAGCATCTCAGATGGTGAGTAAAAAAAAATTAAATTTATTAAAAGGTGGTGGGGATAGCCGAAGGGAAGGGCTNCTCAGATGGTGAGTAAAGAAAAATTAAATTTATTAAAAGGTGGTGGGGATAGCCAAAGGGAAGGGCAACACTGAGCCAAAGGGTGCTGGGTCCATGATGTCAGCAAAAGTGTACTTGGGACAGTGAGACAAGGACGGGCATAGAAGAGGCAACAGGAGAGCCTGGGCCAGGCTGCTCTGGCTCCCTGAGAAGCTGGAGAGAAGGGGTCAGGTTCGGGGGCCTTGGAGACAGGTTCAGGGGGTAAGCCCAGGATGAGCTGCTGCTGCCCATTGCTCCCCTGGCTGCAAGTTTCCTGGGATCTCCTTGGAGGGATGGAGATGGCACTGGCGTGCTCCCCTGGTGGGAAGCATGCACTGGGTCATTTGTCTTGAGCATATTTATCTCTTTCTTGCAGGCAGGAATCTTAGGGGAGGTCCCAGAGGAGGGTCTCAGTAGAATATTCACCAGCTTTACAGATGTACTTTTTCAAGGTCTTGGTCTCCACTGGTTGGTGCCAGGGCAGGGGGTCATTAGTCAATGTATCTGGTCCTGAGGCAGCCACTTGTCTGGTTTTGCTGCTTTTCTGGGCTTGGAGCTAAAATACAACTGAGCTCTAGATGTTACCTTTAGGGAAGAAATGCTCAGGGGTCTAAACTGCGTGACCAGTGATATGCTAGGGGAGGACAGGTTACCCTGGGGACCAGGTTCTTGTTTCCCCAGTTGTGCCCCTTGCTAGGCATCCGGGGCTTCCTGCCCTGCTGAGTCTCCGTACCCTGGTTTCTGTACCTGGACCATCTAACAATCTACTTTTCCAGACCCCTTAGTGTATACCCACAGCACCAGAGTGGAAGCCCACAGAACCCTCATGTTATCTTGGTCCCTGAGTACCATCTCTGTGTGCTGTAAATGTTAAATGTTAACTACAGTTAACATGTAGTTAACTGTAAAAGAAGTACCCATCTCTCTGGTTTACTTTTTATCCAATCCCAGAGGTTTCCCCCTCTTTGCTTTCTCCTGCCTCCCTAATCTGTGACCCATGGATTTCATGGAACCCCCCCTATGTCTCCTCCTTTGACTCTAACTTATGAAATAAGCTTCAAAACTGCCATTGTCCGGAGTGTTTTCTCAATCCATTGAGATTTTACTTCCTGGCAGTTGCCATCAGTTTGGTTCAAATAAATTCATAAAAACTTTCTATAGGGTTGGATGTTGTTTCTTGTTGGTTCGCAAATAGAGGGGAACCAGCCTCAGGAAGGAGTCTCACCCACATCTGAAGTAGATGGTATTTAGATAAGGCTCTAACAGGACTCACCCTTAGCCCCCTCCTTCCCTCTGCTCTGTGGTCACCTCCTGGGACTCCAGATTTTCCTGTGTCTCTCTTGATCTTCCAACTACCTGCCCAGTCTCCCTTGGGCCCAAACCAGCTGCAAATCTGGCAGGGGCAGCTCACATAGCCCTGGCTTCCCAGCTCTTGCCAGCAGCAGCACCAAGTCTGGGGGGAGACAGGCTCTGATGGGAGCACTCCATACCCCACGGGAAGTCATGGC